AGCAGGACAACGTCTGCCGGGTTCCGCTTGTGTGTTATAAAAAATGTGCTACTTTATCGGAGGTTGACGAGGATGGTTAATCAAATCTTTAGTCCTGGAAGTGCGAAGGGAGTTTTATATTAGGAATGAATTTCTCTCCATAAAATATATTATTATGGTGTGAAAAGGAAGGAATGTAGAGAGTTGATCTTTTGATGAATGTTGAATGTTGATCTTTTCACTTTTCCACATACGGAAGTGAAGGGTTATTGATTAGAGCTGACAGCCATCTGGGTAGTTATTTAAAATTAGTATTGATTTTTTCGCTATTATGAGTGGAAAAGATTTTGTCTATTGTACTGTGTCCTGCGGCGACTCCTGCCCGGTGGGCATGTGAATGTGATCATCTTAGGCATTACACAAAAATTGTCAACATTTCTAATCTGCTTTGTGCTATATAATAACGACTAACGAAATTACTACTAGTAATTTAGATATGCACTGTATCTTTAAAAATAACAGTCAACTTAATCATCTAGCCCGGTTTTTCAATAAAAATACCTTTGAATTAGATTTTTGCGGAGATCTTTGTTTTGACTTTTATATAGATGAGTTAGTATAAGAAGGGTCCAATTTGACAGATCGAAAAACCAATGATTGACGTGCAGGGCGATGGCGTTGCAAGATACAGTGACGAAGCCATTTACAAATGAGCCAACTGTAAACAAATGCACTGAACAAATGTGTGTATGGACAAACGATCAAACAGCAACTGTCAGAGCAGTATCTTTTTATAATAATCTCTGGATAAAAGAGGCAAATCGTCTATCGGTCTGTGGCCTGAAAAAACATTATAAATGCATTTTATAGGAAATTTTATAACCTACAAGTTTGAAGAGAATCCCAGTTAACATACAACGCTTAGAACTTGAAATATTCTCTAAAAACGAATTTCTGTATTTCGATATCCTTAAACAAATCAAAACCCGTTAGTCGGAGAAAAAATGTATACAATCAATTTAATGGAAACTTTTATTCTCTTCTTATCTTATAGTTAGGTTATTAAATATTAAATGCAAAGGAAACCGGACCATAACGAAAAAGGATTTTTCGTGATATCGCACAAACGTGTGACGGTGAAACATTTTGCCCGTTTTATTAAAATGCCAAAACAAAGGTCGGCTAATTCATATTTTAGGATAAGCCTCTCGTCAGTGTGAACTGTTCGTTGGATTCGATTCTGAACAAAGCTTCAAGTGTTCATTCTTCACACCGTCTTTGCAACTGTGCAGTTTGAATACAGGAGGCCTATGTGTTTACAACGGAGGTTTTGAACGAATTTGTCTTTGGTGATGTGTGAAAAGATGAGGCTGCTACTTTTATAAAATGGTGCTAAAATATGAAATTTTGCGAAAAGTGTCATTCTAAAATTCGGAAAGGAAAGACAGAAAAGATGGGTGTATGTGGGTGTGAAGGACTATGTGGGAGTTTACCCTAAAACAGACTAAGGTGAGTTTTCAATTTTATTAATTTCAGAGAGTGAACTTAACAATTGAAATAATTTCTTATAAAAGTGAATTGGTAGCTATGCAGTGTATAGACTCAAGGTTGTTTATAATGAACGCGAAGGTACGATGGCCCGAGTCTCGCCGAGATTTGGATCCCGGCGAGCGAAGCGAGAAAACTTGCCTTTGAAAGTAATTTGGCATTAAATTGTAGCGAAAACAAGTAATTTGGCATTAGAATGTAACGGGAACAAAGTGTGTGCGATGACGCTGCGGTAGAAACGAAGAGATCGAATCTTTCTCGGCGTGACTCGTTCTTTTTACGTGAACGGTACCCTAAACAAAGAATTCCGAAACGAAAGATCACAGCAAAAAATTCAGCTGAGGTGATTTGTCTTCCGGAGACAACCCTTCTTTAGCGCAATTTCAGTGCGAGCGCAGCGCAGCGCAGACGTACAGCGAGAGTTGGTCGTAGCGGGCGGAGCAGCCGAGGCCCGTGAGCAGCAGCGCGCGCTCCGCCTCGTCCAGCTCCAGCAAGAAGCGCTCCCACAGGGCGTCCCACGTGGCGGCGGACGAGTGGCGCACCCCGTGGCAGTACACGGCACTACGCATGTCGGCGGCCACCCTGCAGCACAGAGAAGCGCGCGGGGTCGGCCTATGCAGGCGCTGGGGGACTTTTCAAGGCAACGCACTCGTCACCCTTCGGGATCAGAATGTTCGAAATGAAGAACAAAGGCAAAGAGACTGACTTCGAATATTGTACACATTTTACTGATAAATTAATCTCAAATATACATTTTTGAGTCAAGTAAATTCAAAACTTATCATAGTTTAGTGTAAAATAAATATTGTATTGTTATTGTTATTATTGTGAAACAGTTTATGGTTCACGCAATTACAACACGAAACAAATATATTTAGTACCGTTTCTAACTGGGCTTGCTATAATATTTTTTTATTGACAACACGAAAATACTACCTGTTCATAGTTAATTCAAACAAACAATATACCTGCGTCTTGGAACTAATTTGCCGCTTCAAATTCTTTTTAAAAAATGTGTGAATCCGCAAACCCTCGTCACCGTACCGGAAACGGGATGCCTATCATTACTTTTGGGAACTGAATAAGTACGTTCCTGAATAAGTACGTTCCTCTCCTGCTCACAATGCTAATGACCAAGCAGATGGCGCCCTCAAAAACACATTAGATTACATTAGATTTATTATTAATTCTGCAATTAAGTTTGAGAACTTGGTGGCAGAATACTTAAACTTAACATTAAAGAACTTAACAACTTTAAAAAATCTACAATATTTACAAATTAACGTAAAAACGTGAACATTTCACCGTGCAATCTTTCATAGCACTCCACTTCACCACACTTCACTTCACCGGACTGCGAAACACCGAGCTCTAATGTCTTTCTTGCACACACGTTTCCCTCAGTTTCAGAACGCCACTGCACTGCACATAATTAATAATAATAATAATAATAATAATAATAATAATAATAATAATAATAATAATACATAATTACATAGCAGCATAGTTACTTACCCTGAATAATAGTCAGACTATCCACACATGTTGAATCCACAACAATAAATATTGTGTGTGTGTGGTGTGTGTGGTGTGGTGTGGTGTGTGTGTGGTGTGTGTGATGTGTGTGTGGTGTGCGTGTGGTGTGTGTGTTGTGGTGTACGCGCGAGTGGAGTGTGTGTGTGTGTGTGTGTGGCGTGGTGTGTGTGGTGTGGTGTGATGTGTGTGGTGTGTGGTTGTGTGTGAGAGAGCTCACCTAGCGCCGCTGAAGAGGTCCTGCTCCAGCAGGTGGACCGCCGTGTCGCGGCAGCCCTGGTGGCCCATGGCGCAGGCGCGCGCCGTCACCGCCGCCGCCAGCAGCCGCTCCGAGTGCTCTGCGCGCTGCTTGAAGGCGTAGCCGTCGTACACGTCGCTCAGCAGGTGCAGCACGTACGCCTGCGCACGCGCGGACAGGGCTTCGTGGGGGCGCTGCTGCTTCGCCTGCGTCATCTTACTGGCCTCAAGCTTACAACACGTTTGATACTCCACATTTTATGTGTTTATTATAGCAACTAACGAAACAAGTGTTTAAAGCTGCATGAATTCAAGAAACGAGCGACGATAGGAGCGAATTTTCTTATTTGCCATGACTGCAATTCCACCCCTTTATCCATGTGTTTCGTTCAATATTTTTTCGTTTCCATTAAAGAATAATTTTAATTTTGACAAATTCAATCATATCTTTACAATTTGAGGCATTTATTTCATGACGTCTTATTGGTTCTGGGCAAGACATAATTTAGTAAGTCTTATAATGTATATTTATGATCACCATAGTGACTTAGAGAATATTTGTGGTTCATAATTGTATTTAACGTATTCCGATTGAAATATTAGAAGAAGCTGACAAAGCCATGAAAACATTACTTCGTACGAAAAGTAATATTCATATGTATGGGAGAACAACACGTGTTAATGTTGGGAAGAAGAAAGGCAATTCAGTTCCGACTCTGGCCCGCGGTCCGCCAGTTGGACAACCCTGTACTAATCATATATAACACGCACTACTCATTACAAGACAGTAATATGCGGTAGGGTGACTATTTCTCCTAGTGACCAAAGGAAAACTATGTTGTTTTGCATCATATGAAATATATGAGATTCTTTGCATGAATTCCATCACACACACACACCACAGTGTGTGTGTGTGTGTGTGTGTATCAATATGTACGTCACAGTTCGCATAATTTATATGGAAAAATAAGAACTGGTCCAATCCCAGTGGCGTTGCGAGTGCGGAGCGCACCTGGAAGCGGTGGTAGCGCGGGTGCGGGGTGAGCATGCGGTCGAGGTAGGCGAAGCCGCCCAGCGCCGCCGCCCAGGGCGGGTACTCGTTCTCCAGGGAGAGGTAGTCGGTGAGCGCGAACAGCTGCTGGTAGGAGAGCGGGCCCGCGCGCGCCAGGGCGAACGCGTCGTCCAGCAGCTGCGCGCGGTTCAGCCAGTGGATGTCCAGGCGCTGCGACAGCGCCTCCGCCAGCCGCCGCCAGTTCTCGTCGTCGTACGTCACGCGGAAGTAGCCTGCGCACGCGCCGACGCCGACGCCAAGATGCCTTAAGGGTACGCCGTGATCAAGGACAAGTGGTTCGGAGTAAATGTAACAAACTTCTAGAGTTTACAAGAGGGCGAAGATGTGTACATTTTGCCAATTTTGAGTAGTGCAAAATCTCATGCAAAATAATTACACATATGGACGTTTGAATATCGCCGCCCTGTTTGGTTGTCAACTCAATATGTCACTGATGTTTAGAAGGTAAACGAAATACCTTTGATTTGATCCTGAACGTGTTTCTGTTAAATACTAATGCATGATGAATTGACGACGGTTAGGGACGCTGTGTTCGAAAGTACATTTGTGTCATTTCGTTATCTGAGATTTTTCACCACACGTTCATTAACAAAAAATTTCATCTCCCTCTCCAATATAAAAGCCTTAGAAGTCTATTACATTTATTTTGAACCCTTCTTTACACTCAGAGAATAAATGTAGCATCTGTCAAAGGAGGTAGCTAGGATGCTTTTTACAGGCTGGTTATGCCCATGAGAGTTGCCGAAACAGGGTATAAAAGCATATTTCTCTTTTTGAATTGCCGTGCAAGAGATGTCAGAAGATGAGAAATGTGGCCCAACCACAACTTTTGCATTTATGAATATTTCTCTTTTTAATTTGCTGTGCAAAGGATGTCAGAAGCTGAGAAATATGGCACAAGAACAACTAACATCAGTATAAAAAAAGAAAAATGAAACTATAATTTTACTTTCTTAATAATGTGGAATATAAGCTGCCATAATTTCTTCTAATTCCATCTAGCTATTCTTCGACGTCATTTTAAGACAAGGATGATAATACCTGGAGTTGTTCAGAATATTGCTTGCAAGTATTATGAATCAATGCATTGCACATTTGCAGACATTTGAAGGGTCTTCTAGAGAGGAAGCAATAGATCATTGTTATACCAACCAATATAGATCATTGTTTCTCCTTGGCCATGGGTTTCTCATTACAAATTTCAACATTTTCAATACAATTCTGGGGAAAATGTCGAAGTTATCTTTTGAATCGACTGTTTAACCGTGAGTTGAGTTAGTGATACGTCCTCAAATTTGAAATGCAACAGTACAGAATATTTCAAATTCCACATTCATATCCTATTCAGATTTCATGGAGTTGTTACAGCAGAAATAAACGTTACTATTTTAATTTCAATTTAATCTTAACACCAATTGAATTAACTTTTTATTTATCTACAAGACTTGTGTAAGCAAAAATTGTATAATTTAATGCGATGTACCCTTTGTAAACCAATAAATATTCTACACTTCTTCTTACAGACTGCTTAGATCTATCCGAGTGGAAATCACAACAGAGCTAAATTAATTCTATTAAGAATATATTTTATGCAATAAAAACATAGAATTAGGCAGTCATTGAATGAGCAAAAAGCTTACCCATATGTTGTGTGTTGAAAATTAGCCAGCCATCTTCCTTGATGTCAGTTAGCGTTTTTGAACGTTCTCGATTAGTTAAGTATCCTCTCACTACTGCATTGTCAAAAATTCCACCTTCTTCCACCCAGGTCAATGGGACGTAATACAGCTGCGAATTTGTATCTCCTCCACTCGCCAGGTAGCGCTCCTACAGGGGAGAAATTCAAAGGCGTAGTACATTGGCAGATGAAATTAAATATCGAAAGCAGTTTTAAAACAGATTTGAAACATGACTTTCTGTTGCGAACGACAATTTGCGTCATTTGAGGAAAATGGATTGACTGTATTTTGGAAAGAATTCCACATTTTATATGGGCGAAATATTTTGTGAAGAAATGTTGTTCGGAGGAATTTATATGATTAATTATATTATTTTTTTAGAGAAAGAAATGTTTGTTTCTATTTTCCACGAGTGCCTTAGCATCTTGTTTCTTCGTAATTGAACGGAATGTCAATTGAACAAATTAAATATTGATAGAATGATTCTTATAGAAAAATTATTTTCGAATGATAATGTGCAATTCCAGAAAATAAAAGACTTAAATTTTTTTCCAAAACTTGAAAATGTAAGATTTATAAAGCGTTATTCGATGTAACTTATTAAGCCAACAAGACCAAAGTGTTTACTGAAAAGTGGCTGAATATTTTAGAAAATAAATAATCTGCAGGGCTGCATTACCAGTTCCCAGCAAGAAACCATGCTGCACCCCGGTGCAATTGCGTAGGGTGATATAGCAGCAGGTGTCTCCCTGTACAATAAGTGCTTTCGGACTTTTTCCTGAATTTTTTTCGGGGTCTTCCTACAACTACAAAATTAAAGATAGAGATTTTTCCATCAAATAAAATGTGTTCTTTCATTAAGGTCATATACATGGTTTAGAAAATTTTAGTAGTTTTTGCACAATATTGCGTGCAATTTGAAAAAATTACAAAAACAAGATTTGCTCAAAAACGGCTTTTTGGTAAAGATTGCGCTACATGCACTCTATGAAGTGTCCTGAACGCAAAATTGCTCTATTCTTTTGTTTTTTCAAAAATGGCAAAAATGTAATTTTTTAACTTTTTCACGTTGTTAATATGTACATTAGGGGCAATTAGGTTGCATTATTATATTTTTGAATACATGTGCTTAATTTATGTCATATAAAACGCTTCAAAAACTCCACCATTTTCAGTCAAAACTATCGCAAAATTCAGAAACACTCAAGTGTCATTTTCCGAAAAACGGCTCCAAATTACCTCTCAAAGTTTTCGAAAGGATGGTGATAATTGCATTCTTTAATATCATGTAAATTTCATTACGGGGTATTTTTTTTCCACAAAAATTACACAAATGTGTTTTTTTGAAAGATCTCTCAAGCCGGTAATGTACACATTTATAGCAATGTGTAAACACTATTGTATTTGCGAGTTAAAGTATTTCAAATGACTTTAAATAAATTTTTTCAAAAACTCAAAAATTTTCTGTGAATAAGAGCTTCAAATTTCGAATTTACAGTAGTACTTGAGCCATTTTCTTAAAAACGGCTCGAACGTTTTTTTACAGGAAATTGCCATTTAAAACGAGGTTTTACTGTTCCTTAATAGTGTTAAAAAAATATTCCCGCTCTACAATTAGGAATGTGAAAAATTAAGAAAATAAAAAAAAGTACTTTGGGCAGTTGGAAAGAATATATGGCAAGTTCGAGTAGCTAGCTGAGACCAAAGAAAATAGAAAACTAACTCGAGAAAGTCTGTGCCATTTGTAGCATCCGTAGCATTTGTAGCATTTGCAGCTAGTTAACGAATGAAAACAAATTTTCAAAATTTAATACTCCAGCGTTCTAATTGACGAAAGAACCTTCATTCTACAGGAGAATAACCGGACGTGAGATGACTCGAGGTAACTCCGCAATTTTCACCTGAGTGAGTGTGACTGTGTTGGAGCCGTCGTAGTGGCGAGTCACGTGCAGCAAGGGGAAGCCGGGCACCTCCGTCCACGAGCGGAGGAATTCCATCATTTCTTCCTTGGACTCGAACTTCCCGGCGGCGGAGTATTCCACCAACTCCACGAAAAAGTCGTCGGGGACAGCCGCCCCATAAGCACTGAAAAGCGGATCAAATTAGTCCAAGCCTAAATTGAAAGCTATTAACGTCATTAAGCCGATAATCAGCAAATAACAGACACAGATGAAAATTGTAAACGGAGGTGATATTATAAGTAACAGAAACAATAAGTAAGGAAAACAATAAAGAAAAACACCATTTTTTACAAGTCCACTCACAAGCCATCTTTCGTTACAAGTCATTTTTTCGATTGTCCTTAAAGCTTGGTGGACGGGTGTGGGCCGTGCTTCTCTGTGTGGTTGTGCTACGTCGATAACAGTACAATATTACGAAAGGTACTCATCATAACATGTAACTAATAGACATTAATTTTAAATAAGTCTTATTTGTTTATTAGAACTTAAAAAAAAGTTTCCAACTTTTCTTGAATTCGATCCTTATAAAAAAGACAAATATCTTCAAGGTCATGCATGCAAAAGTAGTTTCTCTTTGATAAAAAGGTACCACTCACTTCTTCTTTACGTATGCTTTGATAGCATTCTCTAGATTCTTCTCTCCGATGACAAAACTGAGCATGCGAAGAAATGATGCTCCTGTAAGAAATTTTGTTTCATTTAAATAAAAACATAAAAGATTCATTTTATAGAATTTGCAAACATACAGAAAAATGGTAAATAGCAAAAGAAATAACTTTATATTATCGTGTTATATTTTGACAAACAATATTTTCATTGACAAACTGTTGAGGGTAATGAGAAATATACTCGTAAACGAAATGGTTCCTGAATATATTTTATTGCATTTAATTTCTGTATATGATATTTACTACATGCGAGCTTTAGTATGGTCACGAGAAGTCGTGGAACAAGGATATGAATTATCTCCTGAAACAGACAGTTTTCCGACTTTCGTCACTTATAGCAAGACTGATGATGACGGCAAAGCCACCGAAAGCCGACTCTCTGAATAAATGTATACTGACAATAAATGTATGTTGACAATAAATGTATGTTGACTTCAATTATTAACCCTTTTAGTTCCAACAACATGAACATAATTAAAATTTTAATATTTTTTGAAAATCACTTTATTGTTAATTTAATAACTTTCAAATAGAACACAAATTGTCATAAAATCAATAAACACTTGTGTAAGGAAGGTCCTTTCGCTGAGAAACCACTGGGACGCATCATTTTAACCATCCATCATTTACTATTGAATTTTTCGATGCAATTTGTCATTTTGCTACGACACAGCCCAACTTTACACACTTAGTAGTTCTATTTGGAACTGCGAAGCTCAGCTTTTGTGCTATATTGTGCACAACAACGTAAACCTCCTTGAACTGGCATGTGTTCTGCAGCTGGTACTTTGGTCACCAGAATTTCTACTAAAGCACTGACCTTTAAATCATGTATATGTAACATCTTGAAACTTCCACAAAATCGTAATGCATAAAACAAATGACTATGCTACAAGAAACAAATATTATCCACAATTTAATAAATTACAGACCAATAACAAAATTGATAAAAGTACGCCGTGTCAGTGGGCCAGTGGTTTCAGGTCGAAACCAGACATAAAACTTATAGATTCGAATTTACGTAAAAATAAGTTTGTGTATACTTATATTGACTGTCAGATACCTCCCCAATGTGGTTACTAAAATATCAAGTAAACTTCAAGTAAATTATACAAGAAATAATTGCAAAAACAAAACTCCGGCAATTTAGAAGCACGAACTTAGCGTGATAGTTTTTTATCAAATTTCTAAACGGCCTGTACAAGGAGCTCAATTCGTGAAAGTACGTCAGAGTACCGATTCATGACTCTATATTTACTTGGCTGTCCGGGTGACACCGCGTCCATGACGAAGATGCCGACGTTTCGGTCGCCATTCTACGACCTTCCTCAGGGCTTAATGCCGCCCGAATGGCTTAATGGCGACCGAAACGTCGGCACCTTCGCCATGGACCTGTCACCCGGACAGTCAAGTAAATACTGACTCCGGCCGCGGAAGCCTACGCTCTCAGATGACTCTGCTTCGTATTAGAGTCGGTGGTTTTACCCAAATGCCCCTGGGCGTTTACAAGCTACAAACGAAAACATGAAATTGTGGTTTTGGTGAGAGACCACTGGTACTCAAGGGGTTACTAATGTCAACATCACCTCTTCAGCATTCCCCCAACCCACAATGCTTTGCTTGCTTGAGCGCGTCTTCGTTTGGCGAAAGCCCCCGTGCTCCGTACCGCGTCGCTCCCCTGTGGCTGGGAAGGGGCCTCACCCTTGGAGTAGGTGAGCGAACCGAAGGAGCCGACGGCGTCGGCGGGCGTCACCACGCGGTGGGTGAGCGGCTTGGAGGTGCGCTCGGCGTCCAGCGCCAGCGCCGGCTGCACCTGGTCCGTCACCAGCTGGTCCAGCAGGTCCCAGCGCCGCTCCACGTGCTGTGTCACCTGCGTCACGCCCCACGCGCCGCCACTCTCACCACGCGCTCACGTGCCGCGTCCCCGGCCTCGAAGGGCCTCGAATCGCATGAAGTTACAGTTACTAACTACACAGGCACACTCACAAAATAAATTGTCAGACCCAAACACTTGACACATGTTTCTCTATGTATGTACGAGCTGATTTCGAATCTGAAGACAACTGCGCTACCACTCTCCACTGTCTTTTTAAACCGCGACAAACTACCGTCACATTGTATTTTTTGTTTTCGGGGGTTGTTCTCAGACCCAAAGCCTTGACGCATGACCCTCTATGTATGTATGTTAACGAGCTGATTTCGAATCCAAAGACAATTGCGCTACCACTCTCAACATTTTTTTAAACCGCGACAAACTACCGTCGCATTGTATTTTTTGTTTTTGGGGGTTGTTTTCAGACTCAAAGACTTGACACATGTTCCTCTATGTATATATGTATGTATTTTAACGCGCTGAATTTGAATTCAAAGACAACTGCGCTACCACTTTCCACACTTTTTAAACCGCGACAAACTACCGTCACCTTGTATTTTTTGTTTTCGGCGGTTGTTTTCAGACCCACAGATTTGACACATTGTTCTCTATGAATGTTGATAATCTCAATTCCAATTAACCACCAGAATTGCGCCACCACCCTTCAGTTTTTTTTTATATCGCGAAAAAAACACAATTATTTTGTAAATGGTAACTTTCACTGAGGTTTTTGTCTTGTATATAACAACTTTTGGGTTCTGTAGAGACTAATGTAACAAGATACTATAATTTAGTATTCTCATGTGTTTTTTTGCGATTTAAAAAAATGGAGAGTGGTCGCGCAGTTCTGGCTTCGGATTCGGATTCAGTACGTTGATATACATATAGAAACATGTGTCAAGTCTTTGGACATGACCACTTTTATTTTATTTTCTGTACCTGTGCTATTCATTACTAACATCATTTATTGTTTAATGAACGTTATCAATCTCTCATGTATGTAATCATGTTTTGTGTGACACGACGCTTGGTCAGAGGGCACGTTTATTGTAGTCAATCCTGTGAACCTGCTTGACAAGAGATGCCCTTTGTGAATAAACGAATTAAAATAATTATAATTTTACAAGTCTTGTGACATATTGAAACCGAACTTAATACGTTTTCTTTAATGTAGATTAAAACGCAAAATATTAAAAAACGCTTGAGTTTTGAAATTTGTTTAATTCGCATTAAAATTATGAAAATTTGAATATTGTATTTCGATATTTGCGAATAAAATTATGACATGTAAAAAGTAAATTTACGCATTCTTGAATTAAATATTGAAGTTCAGTAATAATTATGTTAATTTCCTTAACTCAATTACATAGTCCTAAAAAAATAAACGAATTAAAATAATTATAAATTTACAAGACTTGCTACATATTGAAAACGAACTTTAATACACTCAGACATTTTCTTTAATGTAGGTTAAAACGTGAAATGTTAAAAAACGCTTGAGTTTTGTAATTTTTTTTGTTTAAATCGCATTAAAATTATGAAAATTTGATTATTGTATTACGATATTTGTAAATAAAATTATACATGTGAAAGCAAATTTATACATTCTTGAATTTAATTTTGATGTTCAGTAATAATTATGTTAATTTCCTTAACTCAATTACATAGTCCTAAATACCTGTGTTAAAGAAAGAAAAACTATTAATTTCAACTCCGGTTTCACCTCAAATTATTATATTCATGGGAGGGTGGAATCTCAGAACGGAAGCAAATTAGGTAAAGAACTCCGAAATTGGCGCTCAGCTTTCCTTACCACGTGTTCGAAGTACTGCGCGAAGCCCTCGTTGAGCCACGTGGCCTCCCACCACGCGCACGTGACGAGGTTGCCGAACCACATGTGCGCCAGCTCGTGGGCGATGACGATCGCGGCGCGCTTGTGGGCGGCGGCGTTGCCGTCGTTGTACAGCAGCGCCGTCTCGCGGTACGTGATCAGCCCCCAGTTCTCCATCGCCCCCGACACGAAGTCCGGCGTGCCCACCTGCGCAGATCACTCGAGCGTTGCGCGTTTTCGTCCCAGGTCGCAGAGCACAGTGGGCATCAGTTCACAGAATACGCTAATCGAATTTAAAATATTTTGTGTCCCACCTGCACAAATCACTTTAGCATGGAACAGTTGCATCCAAAATTGCAGTGCACAGTGGATACACAGAATACGCTAATCGAATTTAAAATCTTTTGTGGCACCCAAGAATTGCATGAATGGAATTAAATTGAAGTCTTACTTATACGTATTGCATTTGATGCATGTACGTTACATATGTTACGTGTTGGTTGTACGTATTGACAATGAAAACAAAAACGAAGGATAAAGAGAACATTTTAGTAGGGAAATTTTATTCTCCGACTAATGAAAACGACCACTTGAAAATTTATTGATGAACACATGGAAGTTTCTAGTATACTGCACCCAAAAATGATTCAAAGTTTTATTTAATTTAAGAACATTATAACAATGATGGGACTGAAGGTTGTGAAACTTGATGAAGAATATGCAAAATTATCAAAATAATGTTAGCATTCCTGAATATTATTTGAAATATCATAAGGCAAATGAGTGAAAATACCTGATCTAGCTTCTTCAAGGCATAAGGATCGGCATCATCTGTGTATGGGAATCCAGTATAATCTTCCAGTTTCGCCACCATATCGGCAGTCACATCCAAGCTGTATTTTGCCCAGCTGATGGCGTTCTTGCGCGCCCAGGTAGTGTACTTTATGGGTCTGTCCACGGGATCTCGAGCAGCCTCCAAGTCGGAAATCACCCACGCAACGATGTACGTGGACATTCGGAGAGAGTTCTCGAATTCAACTTCTGTAGATCCATCGCTTCTGAAAATTAAAGCATTAAGAAATGTAGTGAAGACTGAACGATATAATATAATGTACATAATGTAAGAATAAAAAATATGGTTGAAATTGAAGTATCATTTTTATCAGAATTCCTGGGATATATTATACATCGCATTCCTAAAAAATGCCAAGTAGTAGTGTCCACAATAATAAGATGACTCTATGTATATTAATGTAAATATATAATGTTCGAATCTCTCTCTCTTTGCCTGTGTGTTTCTATCAGCCGGTTCTCTGTTTGCCTGGCTGTCTTTGTTGTCTGTCTATCTCTGTCGATCTGCCTGTCTGTCTGTGTCTGTCTGTCTCCGCCTGTCTCTGTCTCTCTCTGCCTGTCTCTCTGTCTCTGTCTGTCTCTGTCTGACTCTGTCTGTCTCTGTCTGTCTCTGTCTGTCTCTGTCTGTCTCTGTCTGTCTGTCTCTGTCTGTCTGTCTATCTGTCTCTGTCTGACTGTCTATCTGTCTCTGTCTGTCTGAGGAGATATTTCAATAAGAAAATTATTTTTCATCTTCGCGTTGTAAGAACTTTTAACACACAAAATCGTACGACTAAGGTGAAGAGTCTCCATGCTTAAGGTCGCAGTTATTGCTCTAATTGCTCTACTCTTTAAATTCTTTGCCACTTGGTTAAAACGGTTTAAGAACCCTTTTGGCTAATTTTCTTTTTCATATTATATGGTCAAGAACAACAAGAGAAAGCTGAAGATCTAAAAAATGAAATATGTTATGCTATAATATTAGAAATCAGTAGCAAATAATACCAGTAATTAAGAGCGCTCGCTTCGCTAATTTCCTAAAAGAATCAGAACGTGTAATTTGATTACTTACAAACTCCTCCGCGTTTCCTCCGCGGCGTTGGCAATGGCGTTGTAGCCCAAGAGCGCCCTGGGGATGACGAGCGTGACCTTGAACCTGGCCTTGAAGCTGGGCTCGTCGAAGCACGGGAAGGCCTTGCGTGCGTGCGTGGGTGCGAACTTCGTGGCCACGAGGTAACTGCAACAAGCGAATTTCAACAGATCTTCTGAAACGCCTTGTCTTCCGCTACTTTTCACTCACTTCAGTAAATTACTGATACGCCATGTTCTTATGTTCATTTAAATGGGTTACCGTTTGAAGAATATCTGTTCAAATGGAGATTTTTCAGATTTCAAGTTAGTTAATTGCTCATGGCTGCTTTACAATCTAAATGCGTAATTTACAATGTATGACATTTACTTACATTATCCCTTTATAATAGCAATAACATTGAAATAACTGCTTGTTGGCGAAATAACATACACTATGTGATCAAGAGTACTCGGACACGTCCAAAATTGTGTTATGGTGTGGTCATGTTTTTTATGGAGGGAGCTTGCACCCTCATGTTGTTTTGTGTTGTACAATCGTGGTATAGGCCTAAGTTGATGTTTTAAACACCTTTTTGCTTCTCACTGCTGAATAGCAATTCGGGGATGGAGATTGCAACTTTCAACACGATCGAGCACCTGTTCATATACAATAATAATATCCGTGTAATGGACTGGTCTGAAAAGAGTCCTGACTTGAATCCTATCGACCACCTTTGGGATGTTTTGGAATGCCGACTTCGTGCAAGGCCTCACCGACCTACATCGATACATGTTCTCCTTGCGGCACTCCGTAAAGAATGGGCTGCCATTCCCCAAGAAACCTTCCAACACCTGATTGAAAGAATGCCTGCGAGAGGGGAAGCTGTCATCAAGGCTAAGGGTGGGACAACGCCCTATTGAATTCCAGTATTTCCGATGGAGGGAGCCACCAACTAGTAAGTCATTTTCTGCCGCGTGTCCGGGTACTTGCGATCACATAGTGTATAAAAGAAAAGATGTATCTGAGATATTTCTTTTAATTATGAAATGCATAGTGGTTTTAAAATGTGGTACTAAAACGAAACACGTTAGTAAAAATGGAGCCTCTCAGAATCATCCTAATTAAATTCCCCTCGTTGATACCAGTATGAATCCAGGAGATATAGTTCGTGTGTTTAAAGCCCGTAGCTCAGGTTATTCTGGTTTTGACTTATGAATCCTTAGGGAGCCTCTGTTAATCTAAACAATTGTTGTTTTGTCCTTTCATTTTTCACCTGATTCTAGTCAGTCAAAATATTTTTCTGTCAAGAGATATTAGCTACTTCCTGGAGAACATGAAATAAATTTGTAGAGGGAGTGAATTTACAGAATTACTACCAGAAATGTATGCCAAAATACTTTCACGACGAACAGTTTGTGAGGAAATAGAAAAAAACCTGTGATAGAAATTCTGAGTTCGGCAGACAATGATGTTTTATTGCGTAAGTCGAAGGTCGGATCGTCATTACCAACTTGGAAAATTGTAGCCAAAAAATGAATTAGTATGTATACACTTGAAATACACTATACTGCTCGCCAGTAGTTTTAGTCTTTAAATGACACCTCTTGTCAGCCCTGTGGTCTGAGAAGTCAATACGAAGAACATGTGAGCTATAACATAGGCTATAACATAGGCGCGGGCGGTAAGCGAATATCTGACAAACAATAGATATCGCGTATCACGGTAGACGTTGGAGATAGAGTCAAAATATTAAAATGATTAGAAAAATAGAGAAAGACGAGGGTCAGTGATCCCAGTAGCGCCTTAGCAGCTTTGGTGACGACGTCGCATCCACCTTTGCATTTCTCACAGCTCCGCGCCAGTTGCGGACGAAATGTTTTATAACTCTCTGCCAGCTGAAGGCGACCCACTCACGTCTAAGGGAGAGGAAACATTAGTGGTCCTGCTTCAGTGAAATTATATTGCAGTTGCTCATACAACAGTCTTTCAGATAGTTAAAATCTGATTTGGTGATTAGTCGAGTCTACAACACAGGCGTGTGCATCGATAGTGGGGGGAGGTCATTTCTTCCCAGCATTTGGGAAAGAATCTACCACCGTATCATCTGGCAACCCTGCAAAAGCTTCCACATAAAATCAATTGTATTCAATAAATTTTATTTGTTTAATGAAATTCTTAATTTCATCATCCAGTCCATTTTATTTAGTTTCTATAAAATATGTCGTATGAAAATAAAAACGTTAAATGGGAAAGGGGTCCAAGAGAGGCCCTGTAATGTTGTTTTTGGCAGCGCTCGCTGTATTCAATGATGTGTACTTACTTAGGATATCCTCTGTCATCCGTGTAGTACGTCTTGTAGAAGCCGACCATATCCGTTCGCAGCGGGCCGGAGTAAGTTATTTGGATTATATACTTTTGGCCAGAAACAAGTTGTTCACGAAGTTCAAGCCTAATTAACTGGAAATCAGGTAGTTCTTTAATATCATCCACGATGTTTTCATCTCTGGAAGAATGAACAAATTTCGAGGCGCTGCCCAGTGTATTATTCGTCAAAACTTGTCTCGATTCACTGTATTGGAATACAGCAACATTAGACTTCGGAATAGTAAGATCTTGCACATGGAGAAGTATGTTGTTCGTAACCTCTTCCACAGAGACAACAATAGATACGCTCCCTTCAAATGTATCAGTTTGAAAATCAGGAGTAAGATGCAAATAGTATTGTTCGGGCTTCACAGATGTGGGAAGACGGTACAAGGACTTTTCTTCCACCGCTTTGAAAATTTCTTCGGCATATAATTCCACCCAGAAGAGATTGGGTTGAACGATTTCCCGTGCCGCATCTGCCGTACTTCCGAGGTCTTCTTGACGTTCTTGCAGGAAATTATTCAACTAAAACAAAAGAAAACTATTGCGTCTCATGACCCTACCTCTCTTAGCATATTCCTCTCTCTGATATGATGTTGATATAAACTGATTGTACATGTATATACAGCAAAATTAAATGAATATTGAAATTCATTTAATTTTAAGTGGTCTAAAGTGAATTGAAAGTACAATGTGATGCTTAAACAAAATAAGATTTAAATAAAAAATAAATTAACTCAGTGGCAGTAATTGTACAAAAATTACATAAAAAATGCAAGAAAATATTAATATGAAACCCTACTGCTACTTTAAATGCTCAAGACAGGATCACACCGCACAGAACCACACACCAACTCGCTTCAGTATAATTACTGCATCCGTTTTCTCAAAATTATACGTAATGAGTTTTTCTTCTTGCTGAGAATTAATTGCAGAGCTGGTACACACACAAGAGTACACACCGGCATTGATCTGGCCTATCTAATGATCTAAAAATTTGAGTGAAAAAAAATAGTACACAAGTGCCATTGCGAATAACTGTCTATTTTATTCTTTATTACTATAAACAGTAAATTTTTTGTTATATTTAATATAATAACTAGGAATGCAATTTAAATAAGCTGATGGTTAAAATGTATAGTGAAGGTAAAATATGCTGTTCATTTTCAACAATCACAAACTTCATTTAGACGAAGGATTTGGACGAACTTCTAGGAACCACACAAATGTTACAACAAACATCTTGCAAAAAAATTCCTTTCAGCAAAACGCTCTTGGCTGTACTGCATTCTAGAGTGCCATAAGTGTCGTCTGAATTGAAGTAAAGTGAACTGAATATTTCGTTTCAATCCTTTCCAGACATGCTCTGTGAGTTCATACAGAGTATTATTCTGAATCATTCTACAAAGATCCCAACGAGCCTACGAGAAGGGACAGGTGATATGCGAGAGAATGTTTTATTCTTACCTTTTGAAACTGTTCTTCTGATGAGACTCGTCCAGCGATGCCAGTAACAATGTTTCGAATAGCGCCCATAGCTCCATAACTGTAGACGAGTGTTTGTGTTGTTAATTTATCTCAAAACACACCAGTTTAACGTGATTTAATATTTAATTTATGATAAATTTTTCGTTTTGGAGAAAATGTCTGAACGGTTTAGTTGCTAGTGTTGATTACAGACTAACAAATGTATGTAAAGACAGACATTTTGCCATCAATCAATTTTTCAGTATCAAGGACGTGAAATCATAAATTCTGAATGCACAACGTGTTAGAGAAAATAATTTACACCATTTCGAGACAAGAATGTTGCACTTTTTCGTTACCAGGGCCTGGCAATATTTTTTTCTCTCCTCGCTTATTTGTCTAAAGCACAATATGCAGAAAATAAATTGCGAGAAACGCAAAACTCCGGGAATTCGCGCGGGAGTTTGAGGAAACACTTTGTTTTTCAATGTCACTTTGACGTCTCTGACATTGCAACTGTGACATCACGCGATTAATACGTGAACACTATTCTAAACATTATTTAGTTTGTTAGTTTTGTGGTCGCTAATAACCACCGACGTCAATGCGGCTTTAAGTAAAAAAAATAAAGAAATACAAAGTTAGAAACATTTTTTGCGTCTCCTTGTCGTAGTGTGGTAGGTATTATTAGGAAATAAGTTTAAAAGTCATAGTTTGGCCATAAAATCTTATGTACCCAGATTCTAAATATCTCAAAATATAAAGCGTAATGGTATAATTTGAAAAATAATAAAATCTAAAATAGTTTTATTGAACTAAAGCATAATTTGGGTTTCTCTATTAATTAGTTATTCATATCACAATTAGTCAAAAGTTCATTAAAAGTAATAAGAACAGAATATACTCACTAATTTAGAATTTGCTCGAAGTTCTCGCTGAGAAAATCTAGCGCCACTTCTACTCCCAGAGAATTTGAGTAGACAGACGAAAATACGCTGGCTGCGTCCTGCTTGCGAATATACTCCTTCTGAAGAGAGTAACCCAGGAGTCTGGAACACGATAGGGTAATGAATTATTCAGAAACTTTGAAAACGAGCTTGTAAAAAACGGTGTTTACTTTTATAAAATGCTAAACATTGACATTTCTTTTACTTCATTTGTGTACTTATTTCTATGTTATTGATGCGTTAATATTTTTAACATTTACTTCACAAAATTGAAGAAATGGTATTTAAATTTCTTGGAAAAATTGTGAAATCAGTTTTATGCTATGGGTTAGGGTGCTATACATGAGTTCAAAACCAACAACTAAATTTTTTTTCATTTTGTCATTTAACTAACACATTTACAAGAAACAGGTATTTTGACTTCAATCGCAAATGTTAGGATTAAAATTATGTTTAGATTCCAATTCCACATTTCTTAAGAATGATCCAAATAGCTTGTACTGATTCTGTGAGAAAGGTCCTTCAAACAGGAATATCACATTTGTCCTCTAATGATGTCTGACAGCAGAGAGGTTTGAGGAATGCGGGCTCAAGTTCGCAATCTAAGAAGGATGTGGTTTGAAATAGCGCCTAATGGATATTTTCAGTTAATTTGAGAAGAGTATGTGATTCCAAAAACCTCGTGTGTAATCCCAGTAAACCAATCTTACCCATAATTTGAATTGCTAACCCTGTAAATTAATGAGTTTAGGAGGCACGGGACTACGAAACCAATGTAGTTCGACAAAGAGCTGTGAGTATGTGTTTCCAGGGTTGGGATTTCGAAAAGAACACACAGTGTTGTAGAACAAAATAGGGAATACACGCATTATAACATTTGTAATTTAACTTCTATAAGAAACAAAATATAACAAGGATTATTACAATTTTTTATAAAACTGTGTAAAATTGTCCAAGAATATGTTTGATGGACCAATATCTTTATAAAGAGTAATCGGGAAATTTAAGGCACTAATCAAACATCACAGAATATTTATTTTCCCAATACAATTTAAAACGCGTAGATTAGGAATATAGTTTAGAGGCCTACTCGTAACAATGCGCATTGAGGGCATGATACGTAATTTACTAAAGAAACTAGGAAAACAACATTGTACACTCGAGAAAACAACCCGCCGAATCAGATTGTACGCTGCGGTCGCGGTGATAGAATTGACCGATCTACTTCAATGACAAATCAGATGAAAAGGGGACTGAGTGGTACTACATGATCAAGCTTTCGATAATTTATAAAATCAATACTTTGTTTATTGTTAAGGGTGCCTCAAATATTCTTCATTGTTCATGTTCACAGTTCATCCCTCGCAGTCACTCGTATATTCCGTTGTACACGCATTCACTTCGGAGTTACTAAGTATGTGTGATATAGACCAAAGCCCACGTGATTTAGTCCCGCCAGTGACGAAGTGGGACCGGACCGCGGAACTGATGCCGCGCCACCCCGGCGGCTCAGGAACCACCGGGCGGCATACGACGTCCCCATCGGGAGAGCTGACGAGCCAAGCGCCCGCCGCGGCGCGCTCAGGTAACGGGTGGCTATTCAACGAGCGAGCGGGACCCTTGGCTTTCGTCAGGGATAATATAAATCACAGCATTGGAAGGAGGAGACAAAGAACAGATGTTGGAGAATTTTTATTTATAAGAGAGCAACTAAGTTCAAAGCCTTTTCTATAAGGGTAGAAACAACCAGGAGAGAAGCAGCCATGCAATGAATAATTTTCTGAATCTGATAGCGACGATATTATCTGGTTATGATTTATTGTATTGTTAGTTATAATCAAATATCTGATTAAGTATTTTATCGTTCAATATTAATCTATTAATTGTTGTTAATGGGTTATGGCTTATCGCAGTGTTAAGAATTATAATCCAATCAAATAAATTATTAAGTATTTAATCGTTTAATAATAATCGTCTAATAATCGTTTCAACAGAGGTAGGGAACAACATCGGATGAACGTAATCTAATATGTTACATTCTATGAAGAGTTAATCGAATGTTTTTTTTATTACTCAGCTGATTTTATTGTCAGCTGATTTTTGGTTTGTTTCATAGAAATACTTGATCAAGTTATTTGTTCTGTTGGGAAAATAGTGTAATGATTGACAAAAGGTACATTTTAAAAATTCACCACAACTCAATATCAGCGATGCAACGCGTATTCTACGGAGGTGAACTCGTACTCACTCTTGCAGGCGCGCTGTGCTCTGCGTGCACGCCAGGCCGGCGACGATTAGCGACCTCTCGACGTCGTCAAGCGACGATCGATATTCTTGCCAAAGTAAATCCCAGTATTTGTCTTCCGCGTTGCGGATTCCAGAACAATACACCACGCTGCGTACGTTTGGAGGTACCCTGAGAGCGGAAAAAATTCACATAATTAACACATTGTAGGTACCTAATTAAAATCCGTATATCTCATTTTATTTAATTGCACTTCATTTCATTGAAGTTCAAACAATAATTTCAACATTAAAACATAAAATGTTTTCCGACGAAAAAAATAAGATTAAATGTATTTTTTAGAATAGCGGGGTAAGGCGCAGATGTCCTCATTCAGAAAACATGTCAATAAGAAGAGTAATACACTTCCTTAACTTTCTGTCGGATCAATAAAATTTTGAACATAAAAAATCCCTCTGCCGAATAAACTGCCATTACAGTACGGAGTTTTCTACATTAAGGTAATTTCCAAATGTTGTAGGTATTCTGTAAGTACTCATATCTTTAAAACCTCTGGAAAGCATTATTTAATGCTGGACCGAAAACATTTTAAATGAAAAACAACTTGAAAATTGAAGAAAAAATTTAAATGAAAATTTCGGGAAACGGAGATATCACTTAAAAATCAATGTATAATCATCATAAATACAACAGATTTTAAAAAGTTAAAATGTTAAAATGGCAATCGTAGAAGACCAAACGAAAATTACACGTTACGAAGAGACAATTATGTGCTCGATTGTAATTATACATTTACAGGCTTTTACGACCGCAAATAATCAACTAACTTTCACATAATAAACTCTTTTAGATACTTTTACGATTAATATCTAATATGTGTCTTCGAATTATCATCGCCTTACGGTTTTCCACCATCCAAAAACTCTTGCAATAATGTGACAGCGGATGTTGTACAATGTGGGTGATCCAACGCACATGCCCACGAAGAGACTTGATTCAGCAGTAAGTTGTCAAGGTGTGTTTGTTGAGTCTTGAATTCGAAGCGGTTGTAGAGTTTCAGAATAAGATTCAGTACATATTGCTGAAAAAATAAAAAAAAACAACTATGTATTACTTTCTATTTGTCATGAATTATATTTGAAATTTAACTTTTATTATTTTTTATGTAATGAACGGTTTCGTAGGTTGCTTTTCCAACTCGATAACGGGAAACCATACTTCGTCGTTTCGTTGCTTCTGAGGGGAGCATTGTGAACTTTCTAAACGATAACGATGAAAATTAAAACAAGTCGAAACAATATGTTTATTTTTATTCTGAAGACAAAAAATCTTTACTGTTTTATTGTATCTTTACTGTAAATTTTACTTCGTAAAATTAATGGAATGTGACAAAGTGTGCTGTATCTCTGAAGTACAGAAGTATAAATTGATTACTAATTAATAAAACTTAGTATAACTAACATCACTTAATATAAGTTTTTGCAATCAACAGAATAACCATCAAGCCTATTTATAAAAATATTTCTGATATATTTATTAGTTACATTAAAATATCGAAATAACTTAATTTTAGTAAAAAAATCGCTCAATCTGAATGATTCATTCTTGTATTCCGTGCAATAATATTGCAGACTCACCTTAAAACGTGGATATTCTTCTCTGTTCAAGAGCATCCGGTTAATGTACGAAATTCCGTTGAAAAACGCTGTCCATGGCATGTAGTCAGTTTCTCGATGGAGGTAGTCTAAAAGTTGAAGAATATTTGTGTAGGGTAAGTTACCGGATCGTCCAAACGCCAGCACGTCGTCCACCAACTGGGCGCGGTTGAGAACGTGGATGCCGTCTAATGGATTGGCTTCACTGTTTAGGTAATTAGTGATGAGTTCCCAGTTCGTAAAATCGTAATTGACACGATAGAAACCTGTAACAGAATAATAAATGAATTTCAATAATAAATGCAATAGAAAATGAAGAAATGAGAAGAGATGATTTAAATCAAATAATATGAATGAGTTGACTTGTGTATTTCAGTCATTCGGTAAATAAAATTATTTTTTAAAAGCATCACTGGTTTAAAGGGATCCTATGACATATTGAAGTTTTCTCAAAAGAAGATCAGATTGCAACGTAATATCTATTAATACAATAAGTAATTATTAATAATCTCTTAATCAAAGCTTCATCCTAGGTCGATAATTCACAGTATCGATAAACAACACAGCTTCCAACATTGAAAATATATCCGCAGGAGTACCGCAAGGATCATCGTTCTCCCCCTGTTATATAACATACAGCCGATTTCCCCCTACCAGTAAAATAGCAATCCGCCACCTTTGCTTACGACTCAACCCTTTTTATCTCCTCCAGTAACTGGGAACTAGAAGCAAAATCGCTACAACAAGATATTCAACAAAATGTAACCTGGACGCAGAAATGAATAATAGTTCTAATCGCTTCTAAAAAAGAAAAATTTACACTAAGGAAAATACATATCTTACCGCCTCTAAATATTCAAGATTCTCCAATACACTGGACAGACAAAAATAAAGCGAAAAAATATCTTGACTTAATTTATGACACAAAATTAACTTGGAAATAACACGTAATAAAAATAGAAAAATCTACAAAAAAGAATTGGAAAACCTGATCCGCACACCAATAAAAAATCTTATTTAAATACAGAAACTGCCATGTAAATATATAAATCAGTTATAAGTGCATATCATATGCATGTGCAATTTGGGGAAGAACATTTATATCATCATTTAAAAGGCTACAAGCAATTCAGATCAAATCCCTGAGACTGGCAATCACAGCTTCTTGGTACATTTCAAACAATACTTCATGAATTAAAATACCGCTATTGTACATTAAGATCTATTTTTTTCGTTATTTAATTTGTTACGTTCATTTGAAAAGGGTATGTATAATAAGTTAGACATGTCAACAAAATAATGTAAAGCAGTAAACAGCTGCTCATCATATTGAAAAATAAACAAAAAAATCTTTTAATACATAACAATCAATTAGGATACAGAAATGTAATTCTCATTAGAATTACAGACACCCTCGCCAAATTGCCCAATTACTCCTGAACCACTTGCTTTTCCCACCCTGGCAATAAAATATCCGAGGCAAATAATATCTCTTTTATCTGCACAGTAACTGATCACCTCATCTAGTTTTGAATAAAATTCTTTCATGATACTATATTTTTAGTTTTTGTTTGGTGTGTAGATTTCAAGAATTGTCAGTTTAAATCTATAGTTTCCAATACTTACTTGAATAATTCCTTCGTCAATCTCTTCAATTTTCTAGGTTCTTTTTGTATTTTTTCTTAAAGCTATGGACACATATTTACTACTCCTTCGATATTCCGGGACACCACTCCAAATGTGTATGTGTGTGCCTATTTCATCTGTCCCTGAGTTTTTTTCTTAGTTTTGCTCACGACTGTGATGTAGTCCATCTCTTGTAATTCGTGTATTTGCCGCCTGGCATTTTCCCCAAACACTTGTGTATTCTACGTCCGTGATTTCACATCTCATTTCCATTTCTTTTGTCAATTATTTTTATAGTTATGTTATTAACTTAAACAAAAATTGTACCTGTCCGCTGGATATTGAAAATCACCCAGGTGTCGTTGGATGGCATTCCTTCCATCACTTTGCTGGGTTCATCGGTAGTCAGATAGAGCTGCGGGCGACCCACGTCGAAACCAAATCCACGCTGCGTCCATGTTAATGGCACGTAGAAAGGAGGGTAGTCGAACCTTAGAGGCATCGTTTGGTACCGCACCTGTTGGTAGGAAGACATTAATGTAAGAAGGCTTTGCACAATCACGTGAAAACGCATTTAAGTGGACTTGTCACCAAAAATGTTAACTGGGATACGTGTCTATAAAGCAGTTGAATTTACTCTACAACTTCAGGGGTTATATTATTGGTTTTGTGCAAACAGTCGGTCAAGTTATGAAATACAAGTGCCAGAAATTTATTGCAAAGGCACCGACTTTAAATCTCTAAAATCTCGATTATTCGATAAATATTTGTTAAATAGCATGGCTTACACCAAGATGTGTAAAGTTACTACTAACTTCTATTATACTATAAATCAAAAATGTGTGTTTCTCTAACTTTCTAGAACCATTATCTTTATTTGCATTTTAGATTTGTCTGACCCAAAAATAAAATTATTATTATCAGTATTATTATTATTATTATTATTATTATTATTATTATTATTATTATTATTATTATTATTCAAATTTACTAATTTACTAATTTGAAACGTTAAAACTTATTTAATTTCAATGTTAAAAATATATGAAGAATTGTTGAGCATTACACTCATACCTATTTCAGAGCATCTTGAGTAATTCAGCGAGTTTTTTAGATGCACGATTGTCATTTATTCTCACCTGGCTTATTCTGGCTGTGCGCTCTTTGTAGTCCCTCATTACGAGGACCATCGGATACCCGCTCTGCTCAGTCCACGTGTGGAGGAGTTCGTCCATTTCCGGGTACGAGAGCCCCGCCTCCTCCGAGTACACCTTCAGTTCCCGGAAGAGCTCTTCCGGTTCAACAGCTTTGAATGCGCTGCGGCACAAATGCAACTATGTTTTACAAGCCGACCATTTAGAAACAACAGAAAACTGTATGACCAATCTTGCCGAATGGGCGATTAAAAAGTATCAGCCGTTTTATTGAAAGGAGAGTAATGTCGGGATATAAATTTTCTTACAGCTAGTGATTTTTTTATTTAGATATGAATATTTAGAGACTTAGCTCTTTTCGTAACTCAGCAAGCATTATTTATACACGCAATCCTATAAATGACAAGAAGTTTAAACATTGACATGAATGCTCATTTCTTCTACCTTAAAAGGTACCTCTATTTAACAGATATAGAGGCTTAAAGTGAAATTATTGATAATTGTTAATAATTATTGATGAAATGGAATTATGATATACCCACTTTGCATTGAGGTAACGTCGAAGGGCTTCACGGAAATTATCTTCTCCCACAATATAGCTGAACATTCGCAGGACAGATGCACCTGGTGAAAGACATTTTAAAATTATTTATTATTGATCAGAAGGAAAGAGAAGAGTATGGTTAAAACGTGATATAATAAATGACTTTTACATTCTCGCATACTACTTACGTAGCATAGAGTATTGTAAAATTTTGCGGTCAAAGACAGCACTTTTCGATACGAAAACATTTTTGGGAAACTGATACGGAAAGTGGATAATTCTGTTACTGTACATATAACCAACTTCACATAAGTTGTGTAGTCAAAATCCATGTTTTGATAATTATTAATTCTGCAAAATTAGTTTATAGCAAAATTAGTCGGACCTTCTGTGAACAGAGCTAGCAGCTGAACCGTTGACAATATTTTATCGAAACTGGTATTCTCTGATCGATGTGTATGATGTCGCTGCCCCTCGAATGTGAAACGGATATTTTTGTTTTCGGGTACTTTACTTAAAGCATCAACGGCATTTTCAAAATTTTCTCTAAATTGGCTCCAAAGGTTTTATTTTTATTTTTTCTCAGAGCTGAAAAGTGAGATGCTCAGAGAGATCATAGAACTACGGCGCAGATCTTATTTTCTTTGAACACTAGATTTTTGAAAATTGCAACTTTAAAAATTGTTGGACTGCTTCCTACAATTACAGTAATGAAGGTAGATTTTTAATAAAATGTGTTTAAAAAAATTAAATGAGATCATATGTATTTAAAAAAAACACCTAAACTGTAAATCGAGTTATCTGGAAAGCTAATCGCATACTTGGTTACATTAAACGAATGTCAGATGATTTTTCAAAAAAGAATCTCTCCGAATTCTATATTTGTCTTTCATTAAACAAACTTTGATTTACGCATCCTCAGTATGGTTGCATATTTAAGAAAATAATGTACAACGAAATTTGCGTGTTAGTGTCTAGTTTATGGTCGAATTCGCGTCCCATTGGGGCGTAAAGGGTAATCGTTGTCGGTCGGGGGGAAAAGGGGGAAAAGGGGGAAGGGGAAAATGAAAAAAGGGAAAAATGGGAAAAGGGGAAAAATGGAAAAAGGGGGAAACCGTAGGGGAAAGAGGAAAAAAAGGAAAAAATTCCGCTAAAGAGAGCCCGTGTGGAGGCGCACCCTTGGTGTAGGTGAGCGACTCGAAGGCGCCGGTGGCGTCGGCGGGCGAGCAGACGGCGCGCGTGAGCGGGTTGGCCGTGACGAAGGCGTCGGCGGCCAGCGCCGACATCATGTCGTCCACCACGAACTGCTCGCGCATGCGCCACTCCGGATGCACGCCGTCCACCGCCAGGTACTCGAAGTACTCGGCGAAACCTTCGTTGAGCCACGTGGTGTCCCACTGCGCCGTGGTGGCCAGGTTGCCGAACCACATGTGCGCCAGCTCGTGCGCGATCACGACTGCCACGCGCCGCCGCGCGGACTCGGGCCCGTTCGCCTCGTCGAACAGCAGCGCCGTCTCGCGGTACGTGATCAGCCCCCAGTTCTCCATGGCGCCCGCCGAGAAGTCCGGTATCGCCACCTGCGGACAGCGCGCTCTGCTGTTACCTTTCCAGTCATGTGGTGCGAGGCGAAGTGTTGCACGCGTCCCGATGTGTTGCGCGGTCGGAAACAACTGTCATCCCCTTCGTAGTGTCGCCCACACAGCATTCACCTGCTAAGCGCGCGCCTGAGACAATCGGCCCTCTGTCTGATATATGATGACCAGGGCCTTATAACTCCCAAATAATGTGCAGTCGTTAGCTTCCGCGGCTCGAATCCATAAATTCTTGGCTATCCGGGAGACGACGCGTCGTTGGCTGAGAGGCCGACGTTTCGCCTGACATGTCCCAGATAGCCAAGAATTTATCCCATGTAATGTGGTGGAAACCATAATGGTGGCGCGGTCTACTGCAGTACCTTCTTACAGGAATTAAAATACGAACTGATGCCAACGTTACTTAAAACGTGCGTGGCTGCTGCGTGAGTTTGCAAGTCACAAGCAGGCTCTTAATCCTTCAAAATATAGCGCTCATGTTTGCTCTTTCTTCAGGAGTTTTTTACATGTGTATTTTATGAATAATTGAACATGTAAAAGACACTTTTTTTATTTCTCAGATATTAGCTCATTTTTATGTTCGGAAGTTGGCGAGCTTAATTTTTTATTTCTCACATATTTGACAATTTTCATGTTCGGAAGTTGGCGAGCCTAACCTGCAGCTGAACCTGGCGACACTAGCGCCTTGTAGAGCATCACCCTCGAGATTTGTCCCGCGTTTTGATGGGAAGTTACAAGGCACTGGTCCTGACTGCGCTAGTATTAAGAGGTGCCGCCGTCGCCACTTCATTCTTGAGACCAAGCCATTGGACAGGTGAATGGATTGAATTAATATGTGTGTGTGTATGTTCATTTCCCCTAAAAAGTATCCCGGCCCATTAGCGACACATGTGAGTGGCCCAAACTCATTAATGTCAAACTACGTTGAGGGACGTGGTCGGCGATTAACACGTAGAAATATATCGCTTTCTTTTCATAAATGTTGTCTAACTTGTGCACCTCCTACAGTTTTTGTCATTCCGCCAACTGGTGTATGACCGGACATGTATAATTAAAATTTACTCTTCTGCGAGTTTAATTAAAGCTGTGTTGAAAGTAAACAACGTGGGCGCTTTTTTTCCTGTCCGTTGATGAGTTAATTCACACGCATACATGTTTTTTTATTATTTTTTTTCTAGAGGATAGGTGAATTCTTAAAATATCCTTTTTAGTAAATAACGCAAATTACTGAATTACGTGAAAACTACCTTAACCCTCCAAATTGACGCACTGAAGTGACATTTTGAGCCATTAACAGCTGTTGCTCGTACCCTTGAAGAAGAATACATTTCGCAGAGTGATGAAGTCTTAGGCAATTTTCAAACGTTTAATATACTATCAATACAATCATCTACTGATCTAAACGGATCCTAAGAATAGAAATTGACTGAATTCTCATATCTTCATTCTTAAAAAGATTCAATACCGAAAACTCGAATTTTTGTGAGAGTGAGTGATAAAGAGGAGACGATTGTGGAATGTGGAGAGGTTTGCCAATTGTACACGTGAATATTTTCGAAAAGCGATTAGGTTTTTGAATCTTCGATGCCATCTTTCCTCGGAATACTTCAATAACTCGAATTAATGATGAAAGTGAATGGTTGTAAATGCTAATGGAAATATGAATGGTATAAAAGATAAAGGTTGATCACCGTTTCCAACATTTCTAAATACAGGTTCCGATTAAAAATACAATTTGTGATTACATTTTTTCCATGTTCTACATACTTGACACTCTGATTTCAAATACAATATTGAGTATTGGCGTCTCAAATAAAAAAGGATAGAAGTGTTGAAACGTCTATTGCGAGAAAAATCATCTAATATGTTTAATAGCTTCTAATATGTTAAATAGCTTTGGTAATCTATATGATCGTGTTTTTATAATATTAATAACATACCCAATCTGCAATTTACAAAGTGTATTTTTTGACAATTACTTATTAATGTGATTGTTTTAAGGTCTTGAGTTTTACTTTTCAATGTTTTGGAATAAAATTGTCTATATTTCCGCGATTAGTATAGATATATGCATATTAGTGTAGATAAGGAACTTACCTGATCAATTTTATTCAGCGCTTGAGGTTCGTGCAACTCATATGCATAAGGAATGGCTGTGTAACTTTCGAGGGTCTCCAAAAGCTTACGAGATACCTCCAGGCTGTATTTTGTTTTATCCAGCGCGTTAGATCGTGTCCACGTTTTGAAAATAACTTTTCCTTCCATATTGTCACTCATTGAATAGAAGTCAGACACTACCCAAGCTAAGAGGTACGTCGACATGGGTACAGTTGTGTGGAATGTATATTGTTTGCCGCCAGTTGACCTAACAAACACATGAGAATTTTGCAATTACAATATTCAAAAAAAAAAATCTCATAATAATTTAGATCATTAAAACAATGATGGTTAGAGCAACATTCGACATCCCAAAATTAAAGTAATGTCATAAACTGAAATATTCATAAAAATAGAATTCTAAAAAATTGAAGGGAAATATTTTCAATATTACGGCGATTACGAGGGTTTTTTACAAACAATAATGGAGTTTTTTGTACATTTTTTGACAATCTGCTCATGTTTCACAATAAATATATTCTTTAAAAAACTTACGGGTAGGTTATCTCCTTGAGAGGCATATTGCTCAAAGCGTGATGTTCAGGATAACCATTTGGTATAACAATGTTGACGGTATAGTTGGCCTTATATCCTGGTTCGTCAAAGCATGGAAACACTTTGCGAGCATGCGTTGGTTGAAATTGGGTAGCCAGCACTTTCCTAAGGGAGTGAGAATGATATTATAATTGTATTAATTTTTAAGAATTATGAGAATTAATTGTTTTCTCTATGTGTCTTACTGCACAGTCTATTAAATATGTAGGGCAATATTTCATGGTTTACTGCGGTGCTTCTGTGAAATGACGCGTTAGCAAGAGGAAACCCACGCAAGAGGAAACCAAAGCAATGAATCAACACCATTATGTATTTATGTAGGTCTTTAAAGGTTTGAAAGGATTGAAATGATTATTGAAGTCGGATAAAATATTTACAAACATATTTTTTCGCCACGCTATATCTTCTCTGGTACGAAAGTTACATGGCCCAATGGATCTCGAGTAATGAATGTGAACGAAGCAGGAAAAAAGAATTGGAGATTGAATCACTCTTACTGGAAATATTGAGCGTCTTTCGTGCTACTCTTATCTTAAATCTACTTGTTTATTAATTTTGCTATTTTTAAGAGTCCCTGACTCTGCAACTTATTTTAACATACCTAAGAGTGCGGTTGTGTAACAGGACATCAGAAACAATTACAAGAAGAGATCAATATTAGTTTCATGCAACAAAAGTGCTTGCCTTCAACTCTCTAAAATGTTCAGAAGAATAAGAAATATCCTTTCTTTACAGATTCAGACAAATCAATCGTTTGGTATTTATGTGATCTACAACTCATTATTCTTCCATGTTAACAAATGATGCGATCGCACTATATGACTCTTCTTGGGATTGATACTTTGCAACATTGCATGTTTAATCCATACTTCGTACCCGAGAAAATATTATTCGTTTTAGTAATTGAAGTCCAAATCAATGAGTGAAAAATTAGCAGTAAAGTGAAAATTTGGTTGATAAAAATACAAACTTATATTCTTATAATAATGTTAATGATAGACTCACATCTCATTTAGGTTATCCCCGCGGTACACTGTTTGATAGAATCCAGTCATGTCGTCGCGGATTTTCCCAGTGTATTCGAAAGCCAGATGGTATGTTTCGTAATTTCGAAGTGCATCACCCGCCTCAAGGGTGAGGTGGTGAGTATCGCTGTCGTAAGAAACCAAGTGACTGCACGAAAAGGATCCTTGCAAGTTGCCGGCGCGCACTCGCTTCATCGCATGTTGCGTCGATTCATCGTCAGACACCAACAGAATCCAACATGAGCTAATTTCCAGATCTTCGGCATGCAAGACGAAAGTACTGACGCCTTCGGGCAAGCCGTAGAGATCCACATGCACAGGAAAATCAACTATTCCCTCGAAAGTGGTGTCCTCGAGGTTGCGAACAGTGATGGTAATTTCGGCTGATGAAGGCGTGGCGTGTATTGGCAGACGCGGGCAAGAATCCACATCTCGCGCGACGCGTTTTAAAGACGCAGCGGCACCAAGAACAAATGGCGCTAATACGACCAGCGCTGACAATACGATGACGAGCCTCATCACTGACACGGACATCGCCAGAGCGATGTTGGCCGATGTGGTCGCGCCCGCGTCTCCCGGCGCGTTTAATAGCTGCGCCTTATCGCGGGCGGGTCGCGAAACGCAGGGCGCGGCCCGGCCCTCTCTCAAAGGACGTCTCGAGCGTATCTGGTTTTACAACGGCCATTGAAGCAATAAATAGGCCACTTATTGTTCCAGACTGACAGAAATAAATCAGACAGTATTAATACGGGAGCGCAGACACATTCTTTGAGAATAGGACACCCACTCGTATACGTATGTAATTTGACGAAATAGAATCTGGCGAAGCCTGGGCCTACCACTGGCATTTTGGCCTTGCGGCCATGTGTTACGGCGAAGGTATGGTTAACACATATTCATGACTACGTTGAATTCTGGTCTTCTCAACCTGAGAAGTGCGTTTTCCCATCGTCACACAGCAATATATGATGGAATTGCAAGGAAAGTGCACACTATAATCTTGCCCGACCCGGAATCAAACGGAACGGAAAACGTCACGGAAACCGAGCACGCTGACCCATAAGCAACCCGTGAGGGCTATCGGCTCGTTAACGGTGAAATCAAATGCGATAGTTCTCAAGAAATAAAATTGTTTTGTATCAATTTTTTAATTTTATCTTATATTTAAAACTAATGACTAACTTATTTCCAGTGGTGAAAAACATTCTGTAG